AATCGCACTAGCTCCATGCTGATGCCCGGCCCGCCGGCGGGCCCGCGCCATTTCCCGAGCTGCCCTTACGTCGAGCCCTCGGTTGGCCGGCGGCGTCTCAGTCCTGCCGCTGCGAGCGTCCCCGAGCCAACTTTTACAATCCAGCAATAGCCGCCGCCGCAATACGGGAAAGCCCCTCTCCCTGAAGGGTACGTTAGGGTTTTACCTAAATCGCCTCACTTGAGGAAAAGAGGGGGAGAGAAATAGAGAGGGCAGGGGGAAGCCGAAGGGAAAGAAAACAAAGAGTCTTTCAAAAGAGAAGGGCTTATTTTTAATTGTCTTTTAACTGCAGACATTAACATAAAGGACAGGGCTCTCCGGGCTATCTTTTTTGTTGGGGGCGGCGTGACCGTAAATGATTCCCTTAATGCACTTTTTGATATAGAGCCCAAATTAGCTCTAATAAAAAGGCATAATCAAGCCAGCTCTTCTATGAAAATAAACTCCTCCTAGCTGTCAAGCCCGAGCCATTATCAAGAGGAAGCAGCACTCTCATTTCAATTAACCTCGTTTGCACCCCACCACGTCCGCGCAAATAACAATAACATTAATTTAGAGGAGGGCAGAGCAGTGCATGTTGTCTGCCTGGGCTGCAGCAAGGCTTCTGACACTGTCTCCCATGCCATCCTCATAGGTAAACTCGGGAAGCGTGGGTTGTGTGAGTGGCCAGTGAGGTGGATTGAGGAGTGGCTGGATGGCAGAGCTCAGAGGGTTGTGGTCAGTGGCGCAGAGTGGAGTTGGAGGCGTGGAGCTAGCGGTGTCCCCCAGGGGGCAGTCGTGGCTCCAGTCTTGTTCAAGGCATCCAGCGATGACCTGGAGGAAGGCCCAGAGGGCGCTCTCGGCAAGTCGGCTGAGGATACTGAACTGGGGGGAGTGGCTGACACACCAGAAGGCTGTGGTGCCACGCAGAGGGACCTGCCTGGGCAGGCTGGAGAGTGGGGCCGAGAGGAACGTCGGGAAGTTCAACAAAGGCAAGCGCAGGGTGCTGCACCTGGGCAGGAATAACCCCAGGCCCCAGGACAGGCTGGGGGCTGACCTGCTGGAAAGTAGCTGTGCCGAGAAGGACCTGGGTGTGCTGGGGGACAACAAGTTAATTGTGAGCCAGCAATGTGCCCCTGTGGCCAAGAAGGCCAAAGGGATCGTGGGCTGCATTAGGAAGAGTGTTGCCAGCAGGTGGAGGGAGGTGATCCTCGGCCTCTCCTCAGCCCTGCGGAGGCCTCCCCTGGAGTACTGTGTCCACTTCTGGGCTCCCCACGACAAGAGAGACATGGCGCTGCTGGAGAGAGTGCAGCGGAGGCCTACAAAGATGGTGAGGGGACTGGAGCATCTCTGCTCTGAAGAGAGGCGGAGAGAGCGGGGCCTCTTTAGCCTGCAGAAGAGAAGCCTGGCAGGCGATCTCCTCCATGTGTACAAGTATCGGAAGGGAGGGTGTCGAGAGCACGGGGCCAGACTCTTCTCCGTGGTGCCCAGCGACACGACAAGAGGCAACGGGCACAAACGGGAACACAGGAAGTTCCATGGCAAGATGAGGAAAAGCTTCTTGACTCTGAGGGTGCCCGAGCGCTGCAGCAGGTTGCCCAGAGAGCTTGTGGAGTCTCCTTCCCTGCACATCTTCCCAACCCGCCTGGACGCGCTCCTGGGCAACGTGCTCTAGAGGCACCTGCTTGAGCAGGGGGGGTTGGGACCAGATGATCTCCAGAGGTGCCTTGCAACCTCAGCCGTTGTGTGATTCTGGGACTGAGAAATCACAGCCAAGGGGCCTGAGCTCAGCTGGCGAGCTGAGAGCTCTGAGGCGCTTCGAGGCGCCCGGATCAGAAAGGAATAATCCTTCTTCTCCGAGGGACACGACATGCATTGCTAGAAACACACATCACCAAACATTTGTTTCCAAGGCCCATAGGAGCCTTAATATAACAGCTGGGCGATGCTCTGGTAGCGGGAGAGCTGCGCGGTCCTGTTAAAGCAGCCAATAACGCTGTATATCTATCTGAAAATCGAGTCCTGAAGTTGCAAGTAGGAGGAAGGCACAGGAAGAAGGTGCTACCAGGGCACTCCACACGGCATGCACTAAATGACCAAAGCTTAATCAAAAGTAGTGCTTTTTGGGCCGGCACAGCTCACGGGAGCTCCGGTCCCTGCCGTGCCCCAGGTGCACAGTTGTACAAGCTTCTTTCGACAAATGACAGACCAGAAATACGCACCACGGGGGCTGCGTATCCATCTAGTAACAGGACAAAGGACAATCTTAGGGCTCTTCCGGGAAGATCATTTCTCATCCCATCCAGGCTTCGGCATGCGCATCCTCGGAGCAGATCACAAACTTCTGCCGGCACAGTGACACTGCTCTTGCCACACATTTACCACCCCAGTGGGATTAAAACTTACCGCCTTGTACGTTGGCTGCGTCCCTGCAAGTCCACCCAAAGCTGACACGTAAACAGGTGCCTCAAGCACATCCCAGCTAAGAGCCTGCAACTACGCTTGACCCTCAGCACCAACCCCACCTGGGCTTCAATGCTTAGCTCCTCAAGGCTACGTCCAGCCGGAAATCCCAGTCCCCTGAAAGCAGGTCATCCTGCTAAACTGTCAACTGACAATCGCTAAAAGGAAACCTAATTATTTTTCAACCCTCCTCCATGTCTTAAAGCCAAAGAGCCCCAAATACAGCCCGCACAGTGAAAACAACGGTGAAATCAAAAGCCGTTCTGCCAAACCGTTTCCCCGCCTGGTTTTTCAAAAAGGTTAATTTATATCGCAAAGCTGCTGCGTGGTGCAACGTCCCCTTCCCCTGACCGCTGCCGTGGGGTGATTTGGAGCAAAGTGTGATCTTACGGAGGTAACTAAGGATTAGACGCAGTAAGTACTCTCCCTGTGTTCTTGCTCTCTGCCCACTGGAGTTTAAGCACTCCTTAACCCAACACATGTTATTGACACTGCAAACAGCCCCAGGTGCTCCGGTTTCAAATCCGCTCCTTAACACACTAATCTCCTGATTCACCGCTTTGGTTTAAGAGGCACACTCTGCTCTCATTAGAAGCTCTGACCCTGTAATAAGCCCGAACAGCTTGGCAAGCAAACCACAAATGAACTCGATTTGAAACACTCTATAACATCGACTTCCCTCCAACCGCCATAAACGCTGCCTCCTCGGGTCAGCTCTCCAATAAAGCTGGAATGGGCTCGTTAGAAAGCCATACCGACCTTATCTTTCGAAACTTTGTGGGAAAACGAGCACGTCCCGTCCGTCTTCTTGCACGTGCCACGGAGAAACCTGCCAAAAGACCGGAGGGGAGAGGGTTTAGAGTGAGACCAGCTGACGGAACAAGCTGTTGGAAACACCGCGGCTCCCCCTTGCTGACTCGGCTTGGCCACCCCGCGCCCCGAGGTGCAATTTGTGCAAACGCACGCCGCTGCTCCGCGGTTCGCTGCTAAAAGCCCATTGCACGAACCAAACTGGCACGCATCCTTCTCCTCAGAAGACCAGCTGGTGTCCCCTGAAAGATTTTGCTCTTTCCACGCTGTTTGGCTGCTTATTAGTAAGCAGAGAAAGGCCTGAACGGTGACGTTCAGAGAAGGTGTGCGGGAGGAGTAAGGCCCTTCCTAAAGGCTGGATTATGTGGGATGCTGCATAAGGCAAAGAGAGGCCAGCTCTGCGCTCAGGGGCATTCAGGTGTGAGCGCTAAAGAGGAGGGCCAGGGACATGCCTGCACGAGACGCCAAGATCCCAAGGCACGCAAAGGCATTTAGACTCAAAGCTCTCCTAGGAGCTATCACAGTGACAGCAGATGTTCAGATTGGTATGAACAAGCTATAAATGGGATTGCAGGGACGTGAAAAGCAGCAGAAGGAACAGCGGAAGACAAATGCAACCCTGTAATGAGTAGCTAGGTTAGCGGGTCATTGAGATCACAGCAGAGCGACATGCAACCCCTCAAGACACCCAGATCTGGACAACAAAGGATAGTTTAAAAAAAAGGCATTGAAGGAATTAAGAGATGATGGCAGAGAGATAAAGAAAGGGACTGAAGCCATAAGGCACCAGGTAAGGTGACAAAAGACAGGGAGTAAATCACCAGCGTTGTCTAGTGATGCACAGAAGTGGGATGGAGACTCACAAGATCACACGTGCTATCAATTCCTAAAGGACGCAAAATCATAGCCAAAAGCCAGACAAGGGTCACCAACATAAGAAGAAATGAGGATGCAGTAGCCATCGCCCCTTGTTCTCTGTGTAATCAGGAGTAATCCTGGCTGGACAACTCGGACACATGGGCCTCGGTGCTTGTGGGTATGTGGTACGAGAATGAGTGCAAACAAGTGAAATCAGGTTTAAAAAAAAAAAAACACTTCTCCCTCTGATATCGTCTCACATTGAGCTTTGTGCAACACAGAAACGATTCTGAGCACACAGCAATTTTACGGAGAAATTATTCAAGGAGTTCACCAGTGAGGTTGGCTTTTCTACACTTTTTAAATGACTAATAATATACTTCAATCAAACATCGGGCAGGTATAACGAGCTGGCGACGTTAATCAGTTTTCCTGTAATAAATTACCAAAGTCTCTTAGCTGCATGGTGTCACACGCTGAAGGACTGGAAACCGTTGCATGGATCTGAGTGGATCTATGAACACTCCAGCTCCCACCCATGCGACCTATCTCTGAGAAATGCTGCTAGACAGAGGTCACCCAGGTGCATCACCAGGAAGATCCACATCTACTGCTGTTTTCTGCTGGCAGGCTTGCGACCCATCGATACATGAGAGCCTTCTCATGTGGAGGCTGCTGCCGTGGCTCTCAGTTCCACTGAGAATGGAAATGTACTGCCTGGAGACCATCAAGCAAGCGAAGATGATGGATTTATGCAGCGTTTTATATAAAGGTAGGCTCTCGATCAGATGACAACCCAGAGCAACCAGGCCTGGACAATCCCAGGCAACAAGGTGACACCAAAATTTGGAAAAAGGGAAGGGACTAGCTTTATCCGGCAGCACTTAGGGAGCATCTACCCACCAAAGGATAGTTAACAAGACTGGAAGTATCAACGCGTGCCCCATAACTCAGTCCCAAAATACCCACAGTGCTAAAATGAGGGATGAGTAGGTCAAAGGCTGTGGAAATGAGAGAGTGGCCAACTCCAACACCTTGTCCTGTGCTCTGCAGAGGGAAAGACTTGCCGAAGAACAGAGGGCATCATATCTGCTGCGCTTCAGGCAGGCAGACCTTCTTCTTCTCCGGACTGTGGACACGTGTCCAGAGAGGCCTGGCCTTGCGCGCTTCAATTCCCACTGGTCACCCTGATTTTCAGGTTCAAGCCAGCAGTTTTAAACCAGCACCCACAATTTCCTGTGGCTCCATGACTACTTGTAGGGGGAGCTGTCAAAGGTGACCAAGTAAGGCAAATTCCCACATGCAATAAAGCAGCTTATAGATGCGAAATGGCTAGAGGAGTCTGTACCTCCCCTGGAAAACTCAGTAGTCTGTAAAAGAAGAAAAGCTGGGACGCAGCCATGCCACAGGGCAGGCTCTCGAGCCACTCAGCTTAAACCCACACTGCTCTGACTGCAGCACCATCTGCCCCGTTCACCCCCAAATGCATTAATCAGGACCAACAAAGTAGCTCAGTCTGGTCAGATGGTCCCTTTGGGGCATGGCTAACTATTTCAGCTTCAGTTTCTTCACCTGGAAAACTGCAATAGTATTTTCTGCCTGACAGCAATTAGTAAATGACTAATAATTCTTATTTTGACCATATTTAAGAGCTGTTGTTTTAATATTATCACTAATTCTTAAAACACATGACAATACATGCTACTTTCATTCTTGGTTTTAGAGCTTCTGTAGTATGATACGGAAGCTTACTTATCAGATGTAACTGTATTGCGGATGGCATCCAGGTCCACCATATGAATGAAATATTTCTGTAATCCTTACAGGCTGTGCAAAACAACCAAATGTGTATATTTAACTTGGAGTCTGGCTGTGCAATGCTGAATTGGCATGAACAGCACTTTGTAGATGTAAAATGCTGCGTAAATTCAGAGTAACGTTATTAGAAGGGATTAAACAGATCATGACTCTCCAGTCTGGCAAGTTGGGATAGAGTGGGGGGACTATACAGAGTTATAAACGGTGCCAAGAATGAGGTTAGGGAATGATTATTCCATACTTCTCATAAAACATGAATGAGGAGGCACCCAGTACAGTGGTCAAGCAGCAGGTGGAGGAATCACTTTACATGAGTGAGTAACTCAGTTGGGCAACCCATTACCATAAATATGATAGGTTAAAGAAAGGACTACATGACAGTTTGGCTGCAACCTCCAACAGCTGAAAACCTTACCAAGCAGCAGCACTTGACTGCCAGAAGTTGAGAGGTCCCAGGAAGGAGAAAGAGCCTTCTCTGAGAGCCTCAGTTCTTGGACGGCTCCTGTCAGTGCCCTCTAACCCAAGAGAGTTAGATAGACCCTCAGCCTGGCCCAGAACCGTGATTCTTGTGTTCTTACATCTCTGTTATTTAGGTGTTTCCCTGGGGAATATCACATGAGCAAGCACCTAAGCCAACCGATATTCACAGCTCAGGTTAGTGTGATGGGCCAAAGCATGTGCTTGCTGTGTCCATCCATACCTGGTGCAGACGGCCACCTTCTCTGGATCATGGATATAGGGGCAGCTCTCTCCACGATTACACTTGCCGAAGCGGTTGTAGTACATACAGTATTCCTTCTTCTTCTCTTTTTTCTGTTTGGCTTGACGAATGATGGCCAAACTCCGCTGAACAGCACGACTAAACAGAGGGAGACAGACAGGTTCAGGTAACATCTCCCATGTCAACACATCAACCTAACTTGCACAATGACATAGAGAAAACAGGTGGACAGCACCTAAAATCTCCGAGAAGCCCAAGTTCCACTTTTCAAGAGAGTGAGATATTGAGGAAATTCTCAGTAGGCCATAAGCTCTTAAGTCACTTTGAGTTTTGGACAACTTTACCCTGAATCCTAAAAAAAATGCAACATGTTGCTGCAGCGGTGTCCCCCAGGGGTCAGTACTGGGTCCATGAAGTTCAACAAAGGCAAGCGCAGGGTGCTGCACCTGGGCAGGAATAACCCCAGGCCCCAGGACAGGCTGGGGGCTGACCTGCTGGAAAGTAGCTGTGCCGAGAAGGACCTGGGTGTGCTGGGGGACAACAAGTTAATTGTGAGCCAGCAATGTGCCCCTGTGGCCAAGAAGGCCAAAGGGATCGTGGGCTGCATTAGGAAGAGTGTTGCCAGCAGGTGGAGGGAGGTGATCCTCGGCCTCTCCTCAGCCCTGCGGAGGCCTCCCCTGGAGTACTGTGTCCACTTCTGGGCTCCCCACGACAAGAGAGACATGGCGCTGCTGGAGAGAGTGCAGCGGAGGCCTACAAAGATGGTGAGGGGACTGGAGCATCTCTGCTCTGAAGAGAGGCGGAGAGAGCGGGGCCTCTTTAGCCTGCAGAAGAGAAGCCTGGCAGGCGATCTCCTCCATGTGTACAAGTATCGGAAGGGAGGGTGTCAAGAGCACGGGGCCAGACTCTTCTCCGTGGTGCCCAGCGACACGACAAGAGGCAACGGGCACAAACGGGAACACAGGAAGCTCCATGGAGAGATGAGGAAAAGCTTCTTGACTGTGAGGGTGCCTGAGCGCTGCAGCAGGTTGCCCAGAGAGCTTGTGGAGTCTCCTTCCCTGCACATCTTCCCAACCCGCCCGGACGCGCTCCTGGGCAACGTGCTCTAGAGGCACCTGCTTGAGCAGGGGGGGGGGGGGTTGGGACTAGATGATCTCCAGAGGTGCCTTGCAACCTCAGCCGTTGTGTGATTCTGTGAGACTGCTGGAGATCCCTTCTCACCTCCACGACTACCTCTCTCCTCTGATTGTACAGGTATGGAGAGAGCTTCCTGCAGTTTTCAGGAACACAGTGAAGCTGAAAATATCCTTTCCTGTGCTGGGATCATAAGCATGGGATGATATCGAACTATTCAGAGGGCACTTCAGCATCTGCTGCTGCCAGCTGACCCACTGGGCCCCCCGGGACTATTCATGGGCTTCCAAGCGGGCACCTGCTTATCGACCTTAGTGAATGAGGGCCTGCGTGACAGCCGCAGGAACACAAGGTAACACCAAACATCAGAGAAGCTCTACACTCATCGCCTGGTACCGCTTGAAGCTACTTAAGGATACCACAAGTTGCTTAGCACACATTTTCCATGAGCTTCCAGCTGAAGAGGTAATTACCCAGCAGCTATAGAGCTGTATGTGATCAGGAGGAAGAGGGGAAACGGTGAGATCTGAGGGCACATATTTGATCTCTCAGCGTGCAGATAATTAAGATGGCACAGTGCGGTCAGCTCACGTTGGCAGAGGACGCTGTGCTCTGGATGGGGGCACGCAAAACCACTGCCTTAGATTCTCTGGATTTTTGCACGCATTGCTCCCGCAGAGACCAGGGATAAGTATACATGCATATACATATATGCGCATATACGCATTTCCGCTGTCTGTCTTAGTCCTACTGGTGCCAGAACCACAGGCCCATGGGTCACAACAGCGTTACTCGTGATAAATGCCAGCTCAAGGGAACTATCCGGGGGAAACACAGGTTTTTAACTCTAAAATTATTGGTGGTCTGCAGCTGTCAAGTCCACGTGCGATGAGAAAATGAACTTTATACAGGCAAAATACTAACCAGGAAAGGCCCTCCTCAGCTTCCTCCCTACTTCAGCAGCAGAAGTGCCACCAGCTCTTTCATTAGAAATGGCTTTTCTTCAACCATTCAGTGACTATGGAGGGGGGGCAGCAAGCTCTACCATAAATAAACCTGTTGGTACCTATGGTGCTTCTGAGGCTAAAACAAGACAAGCCATTAGAAGGCATTACGGGGATTTAGGAGAAGAATACTTCTCGGTTTAAATTATGATGTTAAAAGAGGGCTCTCCCGCAGTCGACACATCTGCTGAGCGCATTACCAGCCCGACTGCCAGCACACGGACCTCCGCGACCGCCCTGCCAGCCAAGCACGCCAAGCGTTCGCAGCCAGGGCTCTACGGCAATTAATCCTGATGGCAAATTTTAAAATAATTGTTCCTAGTGACACACAAAAAACGTCAAGCTGGCTTTCCAGATATCCGAGCAAGCTCCGCCTGGATATTTAGAGAGAGGAAGTCAGGACAGGGAAGGAGATTAATCGGTTTGGCTTTGCTTTTGGCAAACGCGTAAGTTGTTCTTTAATTATCACAAAGGATGATCACATTTGATATGAAGCATGTGTACCAAGCCAGGGGCACGTGATGGACTGTACAACAGCACTGGCAATTATTATTGGGGTGGACAGGTTCTGATAAAATACAGCTGGAATCTGGCATTATCTCTGCGTGTAGACACATCTGGAACAACCACACTTCTGGAATAAACCTCAGTCTACCGCAATGAAGGAGGCCTGGGCTGCAAACCATCGTGCTTTAGGATACGACGATACGTCGCGCGCGGGCAGCACGAAAAGGAAGGCCAGGCAACGAGAAAGTCAACGGGGCGCCGCTGCGTGCGGCAGGGTCCGGCCGGGAGCGGGGACAAGGAACGTGCTTTCTGCTTAGCTCAGGACCTCTCCGTAGCGGAGGGCGGGAGAAAACCGGTGGCCTTCCAGCCAGTTTAGTAGCTGTGCCTCCAGCTCCTCGCGCTGCGGCCGAGCGTGCCGCTTTCCCTGGGGCGTACAGACCTGGCAATGTAGCGGCTCCCCGCGGGGGTTGTTGGCGCAG